GAGAGAGAGACAGAGAGAGACAGAGAGAGAGAGACAGAGAGAGAGAGACAGAGAGAGAGAGACAGAGAGAGAGACCCTCCCCCTTCGATTTTTGTAGCCGTTAAACCCCTTCTAGGGCCTCTATGAAATATGTATGTGCTAGGGCGTCTATGAAACACCGAGGGCGTTTCACAGGCGAGGGCCGGCAGCCCCTCGGACCCCAGCCCAGGAGCACGCAGTGCTCAGGGGGCTGTTCTGGGTCTCTTCTACAGTTTGGGGGTATTTGGGATTTCTGGGCAGTACTTCCACGGCCATATAGTATCACCAGGGAGCAGAGGGGGTTCAGCTCTCTGCTTGGGCTTCACCATCACAGAGGAAGCCTTTGTCACTGATCCTGAACTATTTAAAAAAAAACAATACCAACTTTGTGAAGAGACAGGTGAAGCCCCTTAGCTTGAAAAAAACCTCAGCCACAAGGAACAGGTTATCAACAGCTGCTGAAAGCACACGGGGAGGAGAGCCCACATTTCCAGAGATTTGCTGCTACCACTTGGGTCCTTCCCCATCACGCAGCAGAGATATATGATGGAAATTCATATCCAGTTACAATCAGCAGAAAATGGACAGCATTTATTGCTTCCTTCTGTCCCATTTCGTTCTCATTTTTTCAGGTACTGAACTGCACCTATTAGAGCTTGAATTGGTGGCTTCCATATAATCTGTACTGCTAGGAGCAAGCCCAATCTTTGCATCCCATGTGCTTTCCCAGCCAAGAGGATCTTAGGCATCTTTTTCATTTTTAAGACACCTGGATTCGCTTCACCCACTAGTTTGATACCTCCTTCATCCTTTAGGCCAAAGAACACTACAGCTGAAGCCAGGGCCTGTTACCACTTAAGTCACTCGCCTCCAAAGATCTTCACCTCAACTACAGCCTTCAAGCGCTGAATTTAAGCCTCTCTGATACAGCATGCAGGAGGAAAAGGAACATGGCATAGGCAAGGGATATTTACTGCTAACTGCATTTTAGCTACCAGTAAAAACATAGAAAAAACATAGAAAAACATAGGCCCCAGACACTCTTCCCTCACTTCTCTTCCCTTCTTGAAAAAAAAAAAAGTTTGTCCACATTACACAGTAGGCAGTCTTTTCTCCTTCAATTACATCTTTCAAATTGTCATTGCCTCTCAAAGCAGAAGCACATTCTTAAGGATTTCTGAGCCATATTTTCTGCCCTACCCCGTATGCCTTCCCCATGAAGAAAAACATCATCCAGTAGAGTAAGGTACTGGTTGGAGTTGCGCAGGGCATGGCATCTTGAAAGGCAGCAGCAAACACCCTTCTGGGCAGGGCAGCTATTTGGAATGCAGTACAATAAGCTGAACTGAGGCAGGTTTGGGCCCATATAATTGTTGTGACATAATTTTGGTACCTAGACCAAGCTACAGTTCAAGACTTGGCACCTATTACTGCCATGATCTTTTTCAGTTTAGCTCAAGACAGTTTCAAGACATAGTATGCTGTCACAGAACAGTATCCTGTAACAGCTGTGCTTTGTGTGGAATGGTAACAATTCTTATTCCAGTATGCCTGAGGAGTACTTTCCCATGCATAACACTATGCACTAGAAGTCAGTTGTAAGGCATCTACACCTCAGAAAATATTTTTAAAATCCACCTGTGGGACAGGAAAAAAGCATCATCTGTAACTTAAAAACGAGTATCTCTGTAAGTAGGATACAAGGTTACAGCTTACAAAAGCCAGGAGGAAGGGTGACTGTTCAGCCCCTCCAAGGAGGTTAGTTGTAAGCATAAATATTTGAGTATCATTTAATTGCCTTGAACATACATCCTTATAGAAACTGCCACATAGGGGTCAAGAGAGCTGTCCTTTAGAATCCAAATGTAAAATCATTATAGACTGGGAATTTGTGAATAACTTTTTTTCCAAATGCCTGCCCCCTTAAGAAGGCATCAAACTATGTGAGTCATGACAGGAATTTGAAAGGGAAGCACAGCACCCAGTTTATAAGCAGCACTAGGAAGAGCCCAAGCCCTTACCATTCTGTGATGGCCCGCTCCTGCAACTAAGTAGCAGGGCCTAGGACACCGCAACAGGGGAATTAAGAGAACTCTCAACATACTGGGAGTACTGAGAGTACTGTCTTCCTATAATAGAGGGAAAAACTTATGTGAAGGGAAGGGCAGAGCGGAAAAGTCTAGGAGCTTAACTAAATCATATTGATAACTTTCTCAAATTTGAACTACAGATGAAGCCACAGGAAGCCCGAGAACAAGTGTTTGCAGCAAAACTGGTACCCTTCGTAGGTCAGACATAACCACAACCCTGGTGGTCTGTACTCTTGGAACAAGGAACGAAGTTCAGACAGAGCAAAACAGGTCTGGTCAGAGTTGGACTTGCTCCTTAGCCTTGTTTTATCACTGTTATAGATAGCTCTATTGTCGGCTTCAAGCCATGCACAGCAAGGCTCTGCGCCTCACTAGCATTGCCAGCTGGTTTCATAAGCCTCACTTCAGAGCTTATCTAAAGAAGGAAGAAGAGGCCAGAGCCAACTGGTAACAGGCAACATTTCCCACCTAAATATTTCAGGCTTAGCTAAGGAAAACTTATGCGCAATGTATACAAACTAGCAGCAGTCCTAGGACTGTACTCAAAGAACTGTCCCTTCACAGATATTAGCCTGTTTAGAAAAATGGCAAAGGTAACTTTAATTTCGTTAGCTATTTTGTAGCCTTCTCAAACCAACAGAAGACAACCAGCGCGATAGGTATCATCAATATATTTCACTGCAGTTGGTGGTTAAAAGTTGAAGAACAAATGTTAACATATGCCACAGTGCACACTAAAGAAGATGCCATCCCAAGAAGAGCTGACACAGAAGGAACGTTGCACTTCCAACAATTTTCAGATTTCATAGTGCTTCACCACTGGTGGCTCTTTATTGGGATCTCCTCCTCTCTCCAGATACAGGTCATTGAAGGGATATTGCTTCGGTCCCTGCAAAGACAGACAGATATAAAGTGCAAATTCATTACATTGAAACAAGCAACTTGCAGGAAAAGGGAGGAATGCCCCTCCACATACATATACAATCAAGGCTTGCCAGTTACAACTTAAGTTCTTATTTCCTAAGTGTTTCAGAAGAACTAGTAGAGCAAGAGAAAAGTCTGTAAATGCAGAGATGGATAGAGGATACAAATTCACGTCCTTTAACAGAAGCATCAAGGCAGTCTCGCACTTGACCTTAACCAACAGTTCATCATGCAGGCTGAGGACAATATATTGCAAGAGTCACATGTATGTTGAGACTTTTTCAAAGTCAAAACTATTCCAAATGACCAAGATCATATAAGATGCAACTAAAAACACTGGGCAGGAGAAGAGAGGGGATTTCAAGCATTCATCTTTAACAGCACGGAAAACGTTCAAACTACTTTATAAAAAGACTGGATGCAGAAGGTGTCTCTATGCAAGTAGAGTTTATTAGCCTAGACACAGAGGGGAAAAATCGCGAGTCAGACACACAGAGAAAGTGAATGTCTAGGCCAAAGAAGGAAAACCGTAAGACACGTAATTTAAAATTAGGTCTATGAGAATGACAGCAACGGTAGAAGTTTTTCTGCTCGTTATGAGACAGAGCCCATGCCGAGCCAAGCCAGCCAAGAGAACAATTCAGGTTGGAGGGGGCTGCAGGAAATCCCCTTGGCCCAACTCCTGCTTACAAGGAGGGCTTCACATTCACACTCTTCACCTAGCTTCAGCAAAACACTCTCCTGGGCACTGGAAGCGACATGCAACATGGCTACTGTCCTTCCCTTTGCCTGAGAGCATCACTCACCACAGGCCTGTAAGATGGGTACATCTCTCCAACACCAAACATGATCAGCATGGTAGTCAAAAAGATAAGGAAATGTTTACGCATGGTGTGCCAGGGAACTGGAGTGGGGGATGTATCAACGCGGTTCCGAATATACATGTCAAAGTCCCAGTGCATCTAAAAAACACAGGAAAAGGCTGTACATTTACTCAACAACACTCAATCTGTTTCTCCCCAGAAAACAAGTGCTTTACACCGCTCAGATTCACAAAACTGCCAGAAGTGGTTTCATCTGCATCTCACAACAAGAGATAAAGTCACAGGAGCCAGAGGGATTTACCTACAGTCACAACAAGTTGTTGCTCACAGTAAAATCCAGGACTCCAAATTCCAGCATTTGTTCATACCAGGCAATGATGCTTTATTATTATTGTTCTAAAATACCAGCAGCCTATTTAATCACTCTACCTTACATTTGTTCCCCTACTGGTGGTGAGAAGGCATGGTAGAAATTGGTACTCTGGCTCATGGAAGTCAGTTACACACCTAAATCTAAGTAGCAGTGTTACTTTAAACAAAAACAACCTCTCACCACTTGGAAGCTGGTTCCTCAAAACAGATAGAGTGCCTGCCACCGTTACTCCGCAACAGGAGAAGAGCGGGGGTGGTAGCTGGCTAACACCCTTCCTGATTGAGCAGGACATGTAAACTTCTATCCTCACATACCAAAATACAAAGCAGAGTCCTACGTTCTGTCCGTTGTTTCCTTTCACATTAAAGAAAGCAGACAGATCATTAATTTCCAGCTTAAATATTGTCTCTAGTTCCCTAGCTGCCCACTTTGCATACACAGCCATTTGCTATCAGCCCAGGAAAGTGAGATTCTGAGCAGAATTCAGTTGCCTGAACAGACACCTACTGACATCTGAAATGCACCAGCATATTCCACCCGGCTCCCGGCTGCCAATCCCACATGGAAATCTCAGACACCCTACAACATACGAGAGGCATTAGAAATGTATGCTTAGGCAACTAAATCTTGCCCTCCACGTTATAAAGCCATCCTTGATAAGCAATGACATATGAAGGAAAACATGGGAGGGTTGCTGTTTCCAAGTACTGTTTCAAAGCTCCATCATAACTAGGAGTTATAGGCAAAACCCACTTCTTACTAACCAATATCTTATCCCACCTCAAGGGTAGGAGTACCTGCATAAGCCTTCCTGTGCCAGGCAGCACAAGAGTACAGAATCATCACAATGGTTTTCATGTGATTGCTTCTACAGTCATTACAATAAGGACTTCAAACCCTACTCTGTGGTACACATGCTACGATATTCTTGTATGTTTATATTATGATATATATTATATACACATACTTATGTTCCTTTTTACTTTTAGTAAAGGGAGCTCGAGTCAATTACTAACTTAAGTATTCATGGTTAGATTTCAGTCATTCATAGAAACATCGTGCACTAACTAGAAAGTTACTCCTGAGAAAGAGCCTGAGGAACTTAGAGAACCTAGGTTAACTTTTGAAATCTACTTGCCCATTTCTGTTAAGGATATCTTAGGGACTTTCTTTGGAAAGGGCCATTTTATTTCTTCTACCTCAAAACAACCCTAGAGTAATAAAGTAGCAATGGTTGCACCCATTGGACAAAAACTTACACTCTAAAACTAGCTTTTTAGCTAAGTGATTCAGAAGTAAGCTCTGATACTTAGATCAGACAAAAAAAAAAATGAGCCAGCCTTTCACCTTCCTACAGAAAAAGTTGAATTTGAAAAGCTACTTATGTTAACACTCCTTGGCACCCTCAAAACAAGAATTTACCCTGATGGCAATGACTTTTTTTCTCCAATCGACTGCCCCGTTTGCATAGGAAACATATCCCTGCACTTAGGCATGCAACTGGACAAGGAGTTACACAGAGAAAGCACCAAGGAGAAATGGACTTAAGTATTTTGTAAAAGCAGCACTGTTTAGTAGCTTGAAAACAGCTACTAGCATTCCTACCGGCTCTCCCCAGTTATGCCTCATGTCTTGCTGGTCCCACTGGTACCAGGGGTCTCTCTCATGAAGAGATCGATTAGGGAGCTTGGGATAGTCACCATACCTATGAGAACCAGACAAAAACCAAACGTACGGGAAACCTGTGTTAGTTTCTATACATCTTGTGCAAAACATTATAAGCCTAACTGAAATACAGATCTCTTCCTGTCCACTGCTTTGCACAGTTCACGGTATTCCCCAACACTTAAACGTGTCTTGAAATCTTTATTCCAGAGATGGATTTCAGTTTACCCCTCTCAGCTTTGCACTACAACAGCACCTGAAGCCTCTCGCAGAGTATGTTACCCCCACCGGCCTCCCACCCGTTCGGTTTGCTCCTGTTCTAAAAACATTCAGGTGTGCTTTCAGCCACTGCTTTGCACAGTTCACGGTATTCCCCAACACTTAAACGTGTCTTGAAATCTTTATTCCAGAGATGGATTTCAGTTTACCCCTCTCAGCTTTGCACTACAACAGCACCTGAAGCCTCTCGCAGAGTATGTTACCCCCACCGGCCTCCCACCCGTTCGGTTTGCTCCTGTTCTAAAAACATTCAGGTGTGCTTTCAGCGACTCCACTCACAGCGGGGTCGCTCGGCTGCAAGCCCGCCACCCGCGACACGGGGCAGGGCGCTGCCGCCCCGCTCCGGGCCCCCCGCAGCTCACCCGAAGCCGT